ATTTTTGAATGGGCTTGTTTGTTTTTTTCTTGTAGATCTGCTTTAGTTATTTCTAAATTCTGGATATCAGCCCCTTGTCAGATGGGTAAGCTGCAAAAATTTTTTCCCATTCTGTTGGTTGCCGACTCACTCTACTGACTGTTTCTTTTGCCGTGCAGAAGCTGTGAAGTTTGATTAGGTCCCATTTGTCTATTTTGGCTTTTGTTGCCATTGCTTTTGGCGTTTTGGTCATGAAGTCCTTGCCTACACCTATGTCCTGAATGGTTTTGCCTAGATTTTCTTCTAAGGTTTTTATGGTATTAGGTCTGATGTTTAAGTCTTTAATCCATCTGGAGTTAATTTTGGTGTAAGGTGTCAGGAAGGGGTCCTGATTCTGCTTTCTGCACATGGCTAGCCAGTTTTCCCAACACCATTTATTAAACAGGGAGTCTTTTCCCCAATGCTTGTTTTTGTCAGGTTTGTCGAAGATCAGATGGTTGTGGGTATGTTGTATTTCCTGTGAGGCCTCTGTTCTGTTCGATTGGTCTATATCTCTGTTTTGGTACCAGTACCATGCTGTTTTGATTACTGTAGCCTTGTAGTATAGTTTGAAGTCCGGTAGTGTGATGCCTCCTGCTTTGTTCTTTTTGCTTAGAATTGGCTTGGCTATGCGGGCTCTCTTTTGGTTCCATATGAAGTTTAAGGTGTTTTTTTCCAGTTCTGTGAAGAAGGTCATTGGTAGCTTGATGGGAATAGCGTTGAATCTGTAAATTACTTTGGGCAGTATGGCCATTTTCACGATGTTGATTCTTCCTAACCATGAACATGGAATGTTTCTCCATCTATTTGTATCCTCTCTTTTTTCGTTGAGCAATGGCTTGCAGTTCTCCTTGAAGAGGTCCTTTACGTTCCTTGTTAGTTGTATTCCTAGGTACTTTATTCTCTTTGTAGCATTTGTGAATGGCGGTTCGTTTGGCTCTCTTGAAGTCTATTACTGGTGTACAGGAATGCTTGTGATTTTTGCACGTTGATTTTGTATCCTGAGACTTTGCTGAAGTTGTTTATCAGTTTCAGGAGATTTTGGGCTGAGATGATGGGGTCTTCCAGATATATAATCATGTCATCTGCAAATAGAGACAATTTGATTCCCTCCTTTCCAATTTGGATACCCTTTATTTCTTTTTCTTGTCTGATTGCTCTGGCTAGAACTTCCAGTACTATATTGAATAGGAGTGGTGAGAGAGGGCATCCTTGTCTAGTGCCAGATTTCAAAGGGAATGCTTCTAGTTTTTGCCCATTCAGTATAATATTGGCTTTTGGTTTGTCGTAAATAGTTTTTATTGTTTTGAGATACGTTCAGTCAATACCTAGTTTATTGAGGGTTTTTAGCATAAAGGGTTGTTGAATTTTGTCAAAAGCCTTCGCTGCATCAATCGAGATAATCATGTGGTTTTTGTCTTTGTTTCTGTTTATGTGGTGAATTACGTTTATGGACTTGCATATGTTGAACCAGCCTTGCATCCCTGGGATGAATCCTACTTGATCACGGTGGATGAGCTTTTTGATATGCTGTTGCAATCGGTTTGCCAGTATTTTATTGAAGATTTTTGCATCTATGTTCATCATGGGTATTGGCCTGAAATTTTCTTTTCTTGTTGAGTCTCTGCCGGGTTTTGGTATCAGGATGATGTTTGTCTCGTAACATGATTTGGGAAGGATTCCCTCTTTTGGGATCGTCTGGAATAGTTTCAGAAGGAATGGTATCAGCTCCTCTTTGTATGTCTGGTAGAATTCGGCTGTGAACCCATCTGGACCTGGGCTTTTTTTTGGGTGGTAGGCTCTTTATTGCTGCCTCGACTTCAGACCATGTTATTGATCTATTCAGGGTTTCGGCTTCTTCCAGGTTTAGGCTTGGGAGGATGCAGGTGTCCAGGAATTTATCCATTTCTTCCAGGTTTACTAGTTTATGTGCATAGAGTTGTTTGTAATAATCTCTGATGATGGTTTGGATTTCTGTGGAATCTGTGGTGATATCCCCTTTATCGTTTTTTATTGCATCAATTTGGTTATTCTCTCTTTTCTTTTTTATTAATCTGGCTAGTGGTCTGTCTATTTTGTTGATCTTTTCGAAAAACCAGCTCCTGGATTTATTGATTTTTTGAAGAGTTTTTTGTGTCTTTATTTCCTTCAGTTCTGCTCTGATCTTAGTTATTTCCTGTGTTCTGCTAGGTTTTGAGTTTTTTGATCTTGCTCCTCTAGCTCTTTCAATTTTGATGATAGGGTGTCAATTTTAGATCTCGCCTTTCTTCTCATGTGGGCACTCATTGCTGTATATTTTCCTCTAGAGACTGCTTTAAATGTGTCCCAGAGATTCTGGTATGTTGTGTCTCCGTTCTCATTGGTTTCGAAGCACATCTTTATTTCTGCCTTCATTTCATTGTTTATCCAGTCAACATTCAAGAGCAAGTTGTTCAGTTTCCATGAAGCTGTGCGGTTCTGAGTTAGTTTCTGCATTCTGAGTTCTAACTCGATTGCACTGTGGTCTGAGAGACTGCTTGTTATGATTTCTGTTCTTTTGCATTTGCTGAGGAGTGATTTATTGCCAATTATGTGGTCAATTTTAGAGTAGGTGTGATGTGGTGCTGAGAAGCATGTATATTCTGTGGATTTGGGGTGGAGAGTTCTGTAAATGTCTATTAGGTTTGCTTGTTCCAGGTCTGTATTCAGGTCCTGGATATCCTTGTTGATTTTCTGTCTGGATGATCTGTCTAATACTGACAATGGGGTGTTAGAGTCTCCCATTATTATTGTGTGGGAGTCTAAGTCTCTTTGTAAGTCATTAAGAACTTGCCTTATGTATCTGGGTGCTCCTGTATTGGGTGCGTATATATTTAGGATCGTTAGCTCTTCTTGTTGCAGTGATCCTTTTACCATTATGTAATGTCCTTCTTTGTCTCTTTTGATCTTTGTGGCTTTAAAGTCTATTTTATCAGAGATGAGAATTGCAACTCCTGCCTTTTTTTGCTCTCCATTTGCTTGGTAGATCTTCCTCCATCCCTTTATTTTGAGCCTTTGTGTATCCTTGCATGTAAGATGGGTTTCCTGGATACAGCACACTGATGGGTTTTGGCTTTTTATCCAATTTGCCAGTCTGTGTCTTTTGATTGGGGCATTTAGTCCATTGACATTTAGGGATAGTATTGTTATGTGTGATTTTGATACTGTCATTTTGATGCTATCTGGCTGTTTTGTTGGTTAGTTGATGCAGATTCTTGATTGTGTTGATGCTCTTTTACCATTTGGTGTGTTTTTGGAGTGGCTGGTACTGGTTGTTCCTTTATATGTGTAGAGCCTCTTTCAAGAGTTCTTGTAGAGCAGGTTTGGTGGTGATGAAATCTCTGAGTGCTTGCTTGTTCACAAAGGATTTTATTTTTCCTTCACTTATGAAGCTTAGTTTGGCTGGATAGGAGATTCTGGGTTGAAAGTTCTTTTCTTTAAGGATGTTGAATATTGGCCCCCAATCTCTTCTGGCTTGTAGGGTTTCTGCTGAGAGATCTGCTGTGAGTCTAATGGGCTTCCCTTTGTGGGTAACCCGACCTTTCTCTCGGGCTGCCCTTAGCATTTTCTCTTTCATTTCAACCCTGGTGAATCTGACGATTATGTGCCTTGGGGTTGCTCTTCTTGAGCAATATCTTTGTGGTGTTCTCTGTATTTCCTGGATTGGAGTATTGGTCTGCCTTGCTAGGTTGGGGAAGTTTTCCTGGATAATATCCTGAAGAGTATTTTCCAGCTTGGATTCATTCTCTTCATCACATTCAGGTACACCTATCAGACGTAGATTAGGTCTTTTCACATAGTCCCACATTTCTTGAACATTTTGTTCATTCCTTTTTGCGCTTTTTTCTCTGTTCTTGCCTTCTCTTTTTATTTCATTGAGTTGATCTTCGACCTCTGATATCGTTTCTTCTGCTTGGTCAATTCGGCTGTTGAAGCTTGTGCATGCTTCACGAAGTTCTCGCGTTGCGTTTTTCAGCTCCATCAATTCACTTATACTCCTCTTTATGCTGTCCATTCTCGTCAGCAGTTCGTCCAATCTTTTTTCAAGGTTCCTCTTTTCTTTGAGTTCGGTTAGAACATGTTCTTTTAGCTCACTGTAGTTTCTTACTACCCACCTTCTGAAGTCTGATTCTGTCATTTCATCACCCTCCTTCTCCATCCAGTCTGGTTCCCTTGCTGGTGAGGAGTTGTGATCCCTTTTAGGAGGAGAGGTGTTCTGGTTTCGGGAGTTTTCATCCTTTTTGCGCTGGTTTCTTCCCATTTTTGTGGGTTTATCCACCTGTTGTCTGTCTCTGTCCCAGGGAGTTGGAGCTTTATGAGTTTCTGTTGCACTACTGCCTTTTTTGATTTTTCTTTCAGGTCTGACCCACCCAGCTAGCAGCACGCTTAGCCACTGCCTGCCCGCAGGGGCTTTGCTGAGCTGCTGTGGGCCCCGCCCAGCTGCCCTGAGCTTTTCCCTGTAGTCGTTTTTATATGGGCATAGTTAGAACTGTCTCGGCAACAGTGGCCCCGCCTCTGTTATGGAGGACTCTCTCTGTTGTGGCAGGTTGCCTCGGCAACGGCAGGTTGCCTAGGCAATGGCAGCCTGCCTCCATAGCGGTGGAGAGTCTCAGTAATGACAGAAGCCCCTCCCCCACCGAGCCGGACAGTCCCCGTTCAGCTGTGCTTGGTTTGAAGGGCTCAACCCAGAGGGTTTCCAATTACTGTTTTTGTTTTCCTTGTTGTTGGGGGTGGAGGGGTGGGAACAACCGAGCCTGATCACCTGGCTCCCTGACTCAGAGTCTTTTCTTTTAAGTTGAACGACCCCGTGTTCCGGTCGCTTGTTGAAAAGGCGCTGGTATCTCCCGTGCTGCGACTCACGGAGTCGGCTCGAACTGCGGCGCCAGATCCTGGTGGATTTTTTGCCTAGGAATCTCCTAGCCTGACTCGCTATTTCAGATGAATGGGCAATTCTGCCATCTCAGGGCTCTGCTCGCCAGCTAAGAGGGCTCCCAGACCAGTGGCTTTTGTCCGGAGAACCACAGCAACAGGGAGTGGTCACAGCAGCCGTGCGGGCGGAATCAGCCCCGCGGGGGCCAAAACAGCCACACCGGCTGGGACTGCGACACTGGCGACCCCTCTGCCTGGGTATCTCCTGGTCTGTGGGCAATAAGAGTTCATCTGGAAATGCGGCATCCACTCACCCTCTGCACTTTCACTGGGAGCTGAAGTCCTGAGCTGTTCTTAGGCGGCCATCTTCCCAGCATTCCCCCTGCAGTTATTTTTTATTGATTCGTCTTTGAGTCTTTCTATTTAAGAAAGGAGGAGTTTACGTGCCACAGTTATAGTGTTATAATATTTTCAATTTTTCTGTGTGCTTATTATTACCAGTGAGTGTTGTCATGATTTCTTATTGCCCATTAACATCCTTTCATTCTGATTGAAGTAATTCCTTTAGCATTTTATGTAATGTTAAGTCTGGTATTGATAAAATCCCTCAGCTTTTGTCTGGGAAAATCTTTATTTTCTCATCATTTTTGAAGAATAATTTTGATTTGTTAACAGTTTTTTCCCCAAAGCCCTTTACACATGTCATGTCACTCTTTTGTTGCTTGTAAGGTGTCCACTGAAAAGCCTGGGGCCAGATTTACTGAAGCTCCACTGTATATTCTTTCTTTTCTCTTGATACTTTTAGAATTCTTTCTTTAGAATTGACCTTTAGGAGTTTGATTAAGTGCTTTGGGGTAGTCTTCTTTGGGTTAAATCTGCTTGGGATTCTATTCTTGTATTTAGATATTGGTATTTTTCTCCAGACTTGGTAAGTTCTGTGTTATTATTCTCTTGAATAATCTCTCTACTCTTATCTCTTTCTCTACCTCCTCTTTAAGGAAAATAACTCAGATTTGCTCTTTTGAGGTCGTTTTCTAGCTATTCTAAGTGTGCTTCATTGTTTTTCATTCCTTTTTGTCTCTTCTGACTGTGCGTTTTCAAACAGCCTGCCTTCAAGCCCACTAATTTCTTCTGCTGCTTGATCAATTCTGCTATTAAAAGATTTTGATGCATTCTTCAGTATGCCAATTGCATTTTTCAGCTCCAGAATTTCTACTTAATTCTTTTTTCTTTTTGAGATTGAGTCTTCGCTCTGTTGCCCAGGTTGGACTGCAGTGATGTGATCTCAGCTCACTGCAACCTCTGACTCGCAGGTTCAAGCAATTCTCTGTCTCAGCCTCCAAAGTAGCTGGGACTACAGGTGTACACCACCATGCCTGGCTAATTTTTGTATTTTTAGTAGAGACAAGGTTTCACCATATTGGTCAGGCTGATCTGAAACTCCTTACTTCAGGTGATCCACGCACCTTGGCCTCCAAAGTGCTGGGATTACAAGTATGAGCCACCACGCCTGGCCGATTCTTTATAATTATTTCAGTCTTTTAATTAAATTTATCTGATAGAATTTTGAATTCCTTTTCTGTGATATCTTGAACTTCTTCGTTTCCTCAAAACAGCTATCTTGAACTCTCTATCTGAAAGGTCACATATCTCTGTTTCTCGGGGATTGGCTCCTGGTGCCTTTTTTAGTTTGCTGAAGTCATGTTTTCCTATATGGTCTTGATGATTTCAGATATTCTTTGGTGTCTGGGCATTGAAAAGTTATGTATTTATTGTAGTCTTCACAATCTGGGTTTGTACTCAATTCATCTTGAGAAACCTTTCTGGGTATATGAAAGGACTTGGGTGTTGTGATCTTACCTGTATCTGCATTAGAGGGCAACACAAGCCCAGTGACACTTTCTTGCAAACTCATAGAGGTACCACTTTGGTGGTCTTGGATAAAATCTGGAAGAATACTCTGTATTAAGGCAGAAACACTTGTTTTCTCCCCTTACTTTTCCCAAACAAACAGAATATCTCTCTTTGCTGAGCTGCCTGAAACTAGGTGTGGGGTGACTTAAGCCGCCCTGTGAGTGCCACCACTGGATATGTGCTGGGTCATAGCTGAGGCCAGTACAAGACTGGGTTTCACCCAAGGGCCATTGTAACCACTATCTGACTACCACCTGTTTTCACCCAAGGCCCTAGGGTACTACAATCAGCAGGTCATGAAGCCAGCCAGGGTTGCACCTTACCCTTCAGGGCAGCAAGTTTTCCCCAGGGCAGGTCCAGAAATTCTGTTCACGTACCAAAAACTGGAGTCAAAAACCTTAGAAATCTACCTGTGCTATTGTACTGTGGCTGAGTTGGTGCTCAAACAATGAGATTCTGTCCATACAAGCTCCACAGGAAGCATAGCCTCAGCTTGTATCCACCACCACCACAACAGGCTCACTGGAAATATTTTCAAGCTACCACTGATGTTCACTTAATGCCCAATGGATCTTTAGCATGTAGTGAATGCTGGCAGGCCTGAGACTCACCGTTTAGGGAAGTGGGCTCCCTTTTGGCTCAATGCATGTACAGAAATTCTGTCTAAGAGCTGAGGTCTGGAATCAGAGACCCCAAGAGCCCACTTGGTACTCTGCTCTCCTGTGGCCAAGCTAGTACTTAAGGTACAAGAAAGTCCCCTTTACTTTTACCTCTGCTTTTCTCAAGTAGAAGGGGTCTCTTACTGTAGCTACTACAGCTGGAAATGTGCTGGATCTCACCTGAAGCCAGCATGTCTCAGTCTCACCCAAGGCCTATGGCATACTACCTGGGCATTGCTGTGGGTTATTCAGGGGCCAATGTGTCTTTAGGCAGCAGGTGATGGGTCCTACCTGGAGTGGGTTCTTTCCTTCAAGGTAGTGGGTTCCCCCCGGCTCAGTGTGTGTCTGTAAATGTCATCCAGGAGCTAAGGCCTACAATGGGGGACTCAAAATTTTGATCAGCACTCCATCATACTGTGGCTGAGCTGGTATTCAAGGTGCAAGAAAAAAATCATTTTTACTCTTCCCTCTCATCTCCACAAGTGGAAGGAAGGTGTCTCTTTTGGTACCATGAGCTGTGCTGCCAAGGGTTGGAGGTGATGTGGCACACGCTCCCTTAGCCACTGTGGCTGGTGTCTTAGTAGGTCGATGTTCACTGGCTCTTTGCCCAGCATAGATGTGCACTGGCTCTTCGCCCAGCATAGCACTAGGACTCAGCTAGGAGTTGTAGTCCCTGTGACTTACACTGCCTTTAAAGTTTATTTAGAACCCTGAAGCACTTTAGTTTGCAGTGAACTCAAATTCCAACTGCTGGGAATGGGTAAGTCCCATGGGGCTACAGCTAGTCTGAATGCTTCCTTCATTGGTAGGCATCAGCTGAGTTCCATCCTGTTTTGCCTTTTGCTGTGACAGGGCAGCAAAACTCAAGTTTCACTGTGGAACTTGAGTTCAATGCAAGGTTTTACACATGTTGTCCCCTCCCTTTCCCAAGAGCACAGATTCTTTTCTTATACCACATATCTACTGCTAGAGAATAGTGGAGAGGGTGTGACATTAGAGATTAAAGACTGTCTTTCCTACCCACTACAGTACCTGATATGGTTTGGCTGTGTCTCCACTCCAATATCTTGAACTGTAATTCCCATAAACCTCATGTGTTATGGGAAGGAGGTAATTGGATCACGGGGGCACTTACTCTCATGCTTTTCTCATGATAGTGAGTTTTCATGAGATCTGTTGGTTTTATGAGGGGCTTTTCCCCCTTTTGCTGGGCACGTCTCCTTGCTGCTTCCTTGTGAAAAAAGGATGTGATTGCTTGCATCATGATTGTAAGTTTCCTGTGGCCTCCCCAGCTCTGCAGAACTATGAGTCAATTAAACCTCTTTTCTTTCTAAATTATCCAGTCTCCAGCAGTTCTTTATAGCAGTATGAGAACGGACTAATACAGTGTCTATTTCAGTGATGGGAATTTAAAACCGAGGACTATGAATGCCCATCTGATTTTTTCTTCTTATGAAGGTGCTATTTTTGTTTAGATAGTTATTAAATTTGGTGCTCCTGTGGGAGGAATGCTCAGTGGAACTTTCTATTTGGCCATTTTACTCCATCGCTAATCAATTAATGCTTTGTAGTTTACAAAATGGTTTTACATATGCTATCTCTTTCAATCCTAATAATGATACTACAAAGTGAATGGCATAATTCCTGTTGCATAGACGAAGAAACAGACTCAGAGGCATTATTCTTTTCTCCTTTTTCTCTATTTAGACAATCTACAAGGCCCACCATAGGAACTATATTCTTCACAAGAAAAACATGGACTGATTAACATCCAGCTTGAATTCAGTTCACCCTTCTCTGAATTCCTATTGTAATTATATTCAGTTTTATGTATTCTACTGCTAAAGTGATATTTTTTCTTTTTCAATCTTTTTCTGTTGTATTGTAATTTAGTAATGTAAAAAGACAAGCATAAATTTCACAATTAATGAATTTGAATTTTGACTGACTTTGCTGTGTATTTGTTGTGTGATTTTATACAGATTATCTAGCTGTACAAACTTCAGTTTCCTTACCTGTGAAATGAGGATAACAATCCTTACCTCACAATCTCATTTGGTTTTTCAAATAAGAAAATTGATATAAAGTTTTCTTCCCTCCCTCCCTCCCTCCCTCCCTTCCTTTCTTCCTTCCTTCCCTCCTTCTTTCCTTCCTTCCTTCCTTCCTTCTTTCCTTCCTTCCTTCCCCCTTCCTCTCCCCTTTCCTATCTTCTTCCCTCCTTTCCATCCTTAAAATATGTCTGCAATCAGGCTGAAAGCCCTATGATGTCAGTGCACATATCTTAAACCTCTGTTGCTTTCCCAACAGAGTTGGATTCATAATATTTGATACCTACATTTACTTGAAATGGAAAGATTTGGAATGCATACTTTTGGAGTACTACGCTTCTACAAACAGTCTCATCATCTAAGCTTACCTTCCAGAGCCTTTGAATCTAATATGCTCAAATCTCTTAATACTTTTGCTGGATCTAATTAAAAACTTCAGCATGCTAATAAGAAAGTTAATGGCTTTTATTTTACAAATCATTTATTTGTCAAAAAGTGAAATGTCATTTTGATTTAAATGAATAGGTTTCTCCAGAGACTACACATTTTCTAAAATCATTATTAATAACAACTTTATACACAAACTCTCCATTGGTGGCTTTTGTTGTTGCTATGACACCAATAGCAAGCAGTCACTACCCTCATTGGCAGAGATAACTAACTCACTTTAAACTCCTTAAAGTTTTCAATTACTTTTGGTTGGAGGTTAGTGGAAGAAGTGTGAGGTACACTTTCTTCAGCAGTCTCTAAAAAGTCTATACTAACACAAGGACTGTGATAGACAATCCCTAGAAAAATTAACATCTTCTTACATCCCATTCTTTATTCTTTCTTTTTCTGTTGTATGCCTGAGGGTTATACCTCTAAATATTATATTTAAATAGCCACTTTAGTCAAATGATACTAAAGTGCTTTACAAATACTGTTCCTTTAATCTTTCATAATGTCTAGTGCTCTGAAAGATACATTTGTATTTTGTTTGTATATTTACTTTCATCTTGTTCAGAGCTTCAGTCTCAAGTCTAAAGAATTTTTTAAAAGAATATAAAGCATTGTCCTTATTCTTAAGTATTCTTACCTGTTCATACTTTTAACATCCATAAAACACAGTGACTCTTCCATTTTTAATTTATTTTCCAGATGAGTTATACTTATTCTAAGTCTGGATAAAATCATCTCCAGCTTGAGGTAGTGGGAAAGAAACTGGGCTTAGAAATAGACTGCAGCTGTATTTCTGAATCCATCATGTACTGGCTATGTGACTTTGTGCAAACCTTAAACATCCCTGAGACTCAATTACTTAATTTACTATGTAAAGATAAATAATAAAATATTGTCCTTTTAAAATTTATTTTATTTTATTTCATTTTTTGGCTCTTTCACCAGGCTGGAGTACAGTGGTGGGATCTTGGCTCACTGCAACCTCCGTATCCTGGGTTCAAGCAATTGTCCTGCCTTAGCCTCCCAGGTAGCTGGGATTACAGGCACACACCACCATGCCTAGCTGATTTTTTTGTGTTTTTATTAGAGACAGGGATTCACCATGTTGGCCAGGATGGTCTCGATCTCTTGCCCTCATGATCCACCCAGCTCAGCCTTCCAAAGTGCTGGGATTACAGGCGTGAGCCACCTTGCCTGGCCAAAATATTGTCATTATTAGGAGACTCAAATGAGATGCTGGATCTTTAAAATACTTTGAGAATGTAAATGATTATGCTAATTCTACCCCAATAAAGCTATTAATCTAAATGAATGTTTATTATAATTCACAACACAGAAATAATTTGCACATTTTTTTCTTTTTCCTTTTGAGGTATAAAATAGCATCCTAAAACTTATATGCATATGATTTAAATCTTTCTATTAAAATTAAGAATAGGATATTAGAATATCAATGTTGGAATAGGCCTTAGGGATAATTCAGTACATCCCACATTACTGTATAAAGGAGGACTTTGAGGTCAAGAGGAAAAAGAAACTTTTTTAGGTTATACAATTAGGCAGTAGCAAAATCAGAATTAGAACTCTGGTTCCCTTTCTTCCCACTCAGGACCTTTCCTATTCTACTACAATATCTTACCTAAATGGTTCTGTTGGGCTTTGCTATAAAACTATAAAACTCATCTGCAACTTTTCATTCACTGCTTTGAACCAAGATTTTAATATGAACTATTAAGCAGACTTCTCCTTGGTGGGGATTGCTTTTCACAAAGAGAATGACCTACAAGGCAATCCTTCCACACATTTTACCTTACTGCCACTCGATTGTAAACTATTGCATGGCTACTGAAGCAATAGGTAGCACAATAAGAAAATGTGACCCAAGGCTAGCAGTCATGCTATTTTTCCTCAGGGATATACAGATATTGGTCTTGCTAGGAGCAACAAATAGAAAATAAGTTAATGATTAGCATATGGTAAATATTCCTTTAGTGTTTATTTTATTCCTTTTATCCTCACATTATGATGAAATCTTACCTTTGACATAGTACTTTTTTTTTAAATTTCAAGTTATTTTCCCAACAGGTATATGAGGTAAGGATTATTTTCATATTACAGATGAGAAAACTGAGGCTCTGAGAGAGTAAATTAATAGCTAAACTTTACACAGAAAAAAAGAGAGCTGAGATTACAACCTAGATTCTCTGACCTCAAATGAAGGGATCCTTCCTCTGTACCATAATGGCCTATGATTTTGACATACTTAATGAATTCTGAAAACGATTACTAAAGATGTGACTAAGAGTTAAGAAATACCATTTGGAAAAAGTTCTAAAGATTGTAACTAAACAAAAATAGACCTATATCTCAACCTTTCTTTGAAACTATCTAAATACTTTTTCCTCTTCTTCTTTTTCTTTTATACCAATGAGGTTTCACTATGTTGCCCAGGCTGGTCTCAAACTCTGAGCTCAAGTGATCCTCTTTCTTTGGCCTCCCAAAATGCTGAGATGGCAGACATGAACCACCATGCCCAGATAGCCACCGTGCTTGGCTAACTACCTAAATATTCCTAAATTATAAGAAGAGGATTGGCTTTCCAAGGAGAAACTGTGTAATGAGTGGGGAAACTTAAAATTTGGATGCTGCAGACCCGGCTTATGGGATAAAAGCACAGAGGTCTGCTGATTTCTCACCAGCATTCTTATCTACTACCCTTTCTGCTTTGGATGAAGCCCTGCATGGTGGTGGGGCTTCTGGATCCCTCACAGAGATTACAGGTCCACCAGGTTGTGGAAAAACTCAGTTTTGTATAATGATGAGCATTTTAGCTACATTATCCACCAATATGGAAGGATTAAAAGGAGCTGTGGTGTACATTGACACAGAGTCAGCATTTAGTGCTGAAAGACTGGTTGAGATAGCAGAATCCCGTTTTCTCAGCGATTTTAACACTGAAGAAAAACTACTTTTGACTAGTTGTAAAGTTCATCTTTATCGGGAGCTCACCTGTGATGAAGTTTTACAAAAGATTGAATCTTTGGAAGAAGAAATTATCTCAAAAGGAATTAAACTTGTGACTATTGACTCTCTTGCTTCTGTGGTCAATAAGGAGTTTGATACACAACTTCCAGGCAATCTCAACAAATTCTTGGCAAGAGAAGCGTCTTCCTTGAAGTATTTGGCTGAGGAGTTTTCAATCCCAGCTGTACAGGAAGTGTGGTGCCAGCATCTGCTCAACTTCTGCGGAGGTTTCAGAGGAGCTTTTACTTAAAGTGGACAGGCAAGCAGGAGCAGGCCCATCACATGACAAGAGCAAGAGAAAGAGTAGAAGGTGAAGTCCTCAACATTTTTGAACCATCAGATCTCTTGAGAACTCACTCACTAGCGTGAACACAGCACCAAGCCATGAGGGATCTGCCCCTGTGACCCAAACACCTTGCACTAGGCCCCATTTCCCACATTGGGGATTAATATTCAACAGGAGATTTGGGTGGAAGAATATTCAAACTATATCAAAGGTGATGATAAAGAGTAGTGTCAATGAAAATGGTCAGGAATGATTGAATTTTGCATATATTTTTGAGATTGAGACAACAGGATTTCCTGACGATTTGAATATGTTGTGTGACACAAAAAGGAGCCTATGTTTTTGGCTCAGGAACTGAATGGATGGGACTTTATCAACTGACAAGAGGAACACTGTGGACAGAGCGGATTTTAGGGGGATGATCAGGAGTTCAGTCCTATATATATTGAGTTTGAGATGTCTGTTAGGCATTCTTGCAGGGATAATGACATCTACACAAAGGATGGTTGTGATACTTAAATATGATGAATGTAAATCACTGAACACAGTATCTGACATAATTATCTCTGTGAGATCAGAGAATATATTGCTATATAAAACAATAATAAAAGATTGCAAAAGGGAGATATTTAGGGAAAAAGAGCTCACATAATATGATAGAAGAAAATTTTAAAATGATGGATGGAAAGATAAGGTTGAAGAAATCTCCCAGAATATAAAAGCCAAAGAGATGTAAAAATATTACAGAAATATTAAAAACAATAGAAAATCTAGTCAGGAGGCCCACCTCCTTTCTAAAAAGACTTTCAAAGAGACAGATCAAAGAAAATGGAAGGGAAATAATTATCAGTGAAACACTGTAAGAAATATTTCCAGAACTGAACGCCGTCTATTTCTAAATTGAAAGTGCTCAGCACCACTAATGAGGGGGATAAAAGACCTATTGTGAGGACATTTCAGAGTGCCAGAGGGTAAAAACAAGTCACAAGGAAAGGAATAGGGATGGGTGGAATACCCATCTTAACTTAAAAGTAACATTGGAAGCTAGTAGACAAGGATGCAATACCTTCATAGTTCTGAGAAAATTATGACAAACATAGATTTCTAATTCCAACCAAATAATCAATTATGAGGGTAGCCTAAAAATATTTTTTTAACATGCAAGATGCAAAAAATTTATCTCCTACATATCTTCACACAGGAAGCTATTGAAGTATGTGAAAGAAGGCATGAAATCTAGGAAAATGGGGAATGTAACACTGGAGAGGGAGGGGAAATTTGCCAGATGACGGTGAACAAAAGTCCAGGATGACAGCTGAGTAGCAGGCCTAGAGATGACTAGTACAGATTGGAGCAGGAAAGTGGAAACTCCAGGGAAGATATCTCTCTAAACCAAATTAAACTGATACATGTCTTTGATTATTCTCAAAGCGTTTGATAGTTCATTCAGAGAGTTAGAGAGCAAACTGTCCCTAACTTAAGGGAGCTTACACAGTAATAAGGGGTACATGCAAGTAGGCAGGCAATTAGAGTATTCTGTGAAGGTTTATAAAGTTTAGTACTGTAGGAAACCAGAATGTGCCTCCCCAAAATATGAAAGATTATTGAGCTGAAGACAGTTAAGATGCTAGTAGATCTCTCTGCCTAAAAGCAGGAAAGAGATTTACAGAGGAAAAAGGTCTTTCTGTCCTCCCTCCTCCCTTTTCCCCTACAGACAGGATGTAAATTCGCCTTTACTGGAAAAAACCCTTTATCGTCTCAGAGACGGCACCAGAGGAATCTGCAAGCTGACTTTACTCCATGAGAGCCTTCCATATATTTAACTTTCCACGGTTTCCCACCTCTTGAGGTCTGGGACTGCTTTCCTTTGCCTTGTCACTTCTCTGAATTTATTGTTCTTTGTTGGTGTGTTGTATAAGCCAGACTCGTAAACCACTGCCTTGAGTTACTTTTCACTGAGAGCTTTTCCTGTGTGATATACGCTGCACACATTAATAAACCTATCTGTTTTTCTCCTGTTAGTCTGCCTTCTCTGATAAAAGTCTGTGTTAAGTACATACTTATGAGGGTTGAGGAAAAAATGTTTTTTTCTCCCCTTCAGTTCTCTGCCGTTAGATCACCCGTAGCTGGAATAGAGGCTCAGAAACCTAGTATTTAGCTCCTTTGAGCATCTGTAATTGAACTGGCAAACCAAGAGCTTGGGGCTCACTGTTGGGTTAGCTGAAGAATAGTTTCTGTTACATTCTAGAAAACAAAGTGTGTGTGTGTTTTTTTTTTTTTTCTTTTTCTTTTTCTCCAGGGAATGAGTTGGGGGAAACCATTTATTTTAGTTTAAAGAATTTAAAGTTCATCTATATATTTATAAGCATTTATCAGTTTTCATTTTAGTATATATGATGGTATCATGCTTATAAGAATATTTTGTTTTTAAAATGACTAGAGCAGTGCAATGGAAAAAACTTGAGTTGTTAATTTTAGATATGAAAAGCAACTGAATTTCTTATGTAATATTTTACCCTCCCAAGATATGTCCTCTATACTCCATTGACTTATGCCAATAAAGTAATGGTCTTCCAATTAAAAAAAAAAAAGAAGAGACTTCAATTACTTAGACTGATCAAGCGTCCAAAAGTATGCAACACAAGTCTAAAAGCAATCAGAATTAAGCTTGCATTGCTGATTTAGCTAAACAAACATCTCAAAAGTTGGAAGGCTTCGTTTCTTCACTTACGAAGGATACACTTATTCTGGAAATTTTGGTTCTCGTTTATGTATTTACATATTAATAATTCATGGGAAAATGCAGAAGGAAAACCAAAACAAAAAAACCCACAAATGCTTTATTCCTGAGAATGGTTGCTTCTTTCTCTAGTGCTATTTTTTTTTAAAAAAAACTGCATATACAGGAGGCTGAGGAAAGAGAATTGCCTGAACCCAGGAGGCAGAGGTTGCGGTGAGCCGAGATCGCGCCATTGCACTCCAGCCCTGGGTAACAAGAGTGAAACTCCGTCTCAAAAACAAAACAAAACAAAACAAAACAAAAAAACTGCATATAGTGTGGTTGTGAAGTATTTTTTGAATATACCCTGTGACAAACTTTACTCCAAAAACTAAACGAAGTAGAGGCATAACAAAGTACAGGAAAGCATGAAATGGTATAATCATAATTTATTCTTAGATATTTAGTTCTTTCTAAGCACAGTGTTAGAAGTCAGGGAGATCTGGATATAAAACACAACCCTAAAATTTATAGCTACATGATCTTAGGCAAGTTAAATAACCTGCTTAATATAGTTTTTTTATTTGCAAAATGGAGATGATAATACCTACATCATAGGATTGCTATGAAGATTAAATGTGGTAACACGTGTAAAGTTCTTGGTACTTGATTTATAAAGTTCAATAAATAATAATCTCTTTCCTCTCACCCACTCCTATGATGATTTCCTGTTAACTCCAAAAGCCTACATATTTTCAACTGAATAAGCTAATTTAATTAGCTGTCTTGTTCAGATTTTCACTACTGCTTTGATGCCTCAATCTTTCTGGAAGAAATCTTCACTTTCTTATAAATAAAATGCCTTAACTCTTCTTATTACACAGGTCATCTTACTATTTACTTTTTCAAACACAAAAAGGTAAATTTTATATTTGTGTTTACCCTTTCAAACACAAAACACCGATAACAAAAACAACCACAAAAATACTCACCTCCTAACACCTCAAAAATGTCCAATGTCTGGCATAGATCCTCAGCACTCTCAGTTCTTCTATAGAGGCCTGTAGTTCACGTCTGTATTTCTTACTTTTGTGACTTATCCATCACAGCTTGGCTTTTATCCTCTGCTGCTGAGGCAGAAATGTCAAAAGGAGTCCATAACCTTGGGTAAAATAGATTTAATTAGAAGAATGGCAAACCTCTGATGAGAACTTGATAAATCGTCCACTGAAACCCTTTTACCCATTTAAAGTTCAGTATTATAATTAGGACAGAAAGATATTTGGATCTCAAAGGCTGAGACAATTGTGTTAATTATTCAATAATTGTATTAATCCCAGATGTAGCACTTTTCAAATTTTTTTTTGAGGTGGAGTCTCTCTCAGTTGCCAGGCTGGAGTGAAGTAGCACTATTTTGGCTCATGGCAACCTCCGCCTCCTGGGTTCAAGCGATTCTCCTGCCTCAGCCTCCCGAGTAGCTGGGACTACAGGCATGCGCCACCATGCCCAGCTAATTTTTGCATTTTTAGTAGAGATGGAGTTTCACCATGTTGGTGAGGATGGTCTAGATCACCTGACCTCATGATCTGCCTGCCTCAGCCTCCAAAAGTGCTAGGATTACAGGTGTGAACCACCGCTCCTGCTTGATGTAGCACTTTTTTAGACTTTTCTTTTCTTTCTTTTTTTCTTTCTTTCTTTTTTTTTTTTTTTTTTTGAGACAGAGTCTCACTTTGTTGCTTAGACTGGCGTGCAGGGGCACGATCACGACTCACTACAACCTCCACCTCCCGGATTCAAGTGATTCTCCTGCCTCAGCCTCCTGAGTACCTGGGATGACAGGCATGCATCCCCATGTCTGGCTAATTTTTGTATTTTAGTAGAGATGGGGTTTAAACATGGCCAGAATGGTCTTGATCTCCTAACCTCATGATCTGCCCACCTCAGCCTCCCAAAGTGCTGGGTTTATAGGTGTGAGCTGCCACATACAGCTTTTTTAGTCTTTTATAGGTATTGACCCTAAGAATATTCTGCAGGCCTACGAAAACTTATTTTGTGACTGTAAGATTCAGTCTAAAAGAATAATAGCTGAACTACATGTATAATTTTGAATTATATTCATATAAATTATAAATAAAACAATTTTTTAAAAAAAGGGGACCATGGATGAACAGTGAGTTTAATAACTATTATCTAAATTGTGTTAAGTATCAAAATGTTTTTATATAGACCCTATCCACAATTTACAGATTAGGTATGACTACTTCCTCTTGTTGATCTTTTATGCAAAACAAAATAAGATTAAAACTCAGAAGACCACAATTTAGAATAAACATGAATTTCTAACCACTTGAAATACATCAGATTTTCACCCTGAGGAGACTTTTCTTATCTGATTAAATAAAAATTCGTTATGTGCAGTTTACAAAGTTGACCGAAACATACAAAGAAAAAAACACTTGAAGAAGAATAGCCGTCCCTTTCTACCTGGCTCCAAAATAAAAGAAGTCATTCTGTGAACATTAAAATTAAAATGTTAATAATTACACTAATAAACAGTTGACATTTTATAACTTTAGGTGGTTCAAAAAATGTTTTCCATCTAGAAGTCAGATTATTAAACTATGGTTCAAAAGCTAAGTGTGGCCTAAAAAAGGCTTCTATGAAGGATCTTATTATTCTTCCCACTCCCCAGCTTTGGGAATTTTTCCATTCCTTAAATATCACTTTTAGTAGTATAGTGACTGTATTTTCCAAACTCCAAATCAGGCCATAAGTTCTGACACTTGAGGGTTTTGTGTTGTTTCTTGGTGCCAGGTGCACTCTAGAAAGTGTGACTTGGATATTAAAAAAATTAGAATTTCAGAGCACATGTCATCAGGACCTCCTGAGGGTGTGTCAAGGAAAAAAATAGGTAAAACAAAAGAAAAAAATTATACTTTTTTGAATATTTTGAAGATTTGGAAAGATAATGAAAAAGAATGTTTGCAATTAAGAATGCCTTGGAAATTTTGATTACTGTGTGAATAAAACATCTGAGTCAAGGTTACTGAATAGGTTAAAAAAATCAGTCAAAAATCTAGAAGAAACTGTAAATCTTATTTAATCTGAAATTAGAAAGTATATTCCACAGTTCATTTAGACATAAGCAAATTTCAAAAAAAGGTATGCAACTTTATGCAAATATGCTCATAACTCTCTATTACATGTGTGACATGTTCAAGAGTGAGGTACTTTTCTGGAATTGATATTGTAGGAATCTTAGGGTTACCGCCCAACTTGATATTACCGAGATGTGGGGAAATCTATTCCCATGAGGCACTGAGATTTGAGCTGGCCATACTACCAGACATGTTATTTGCAGCTCCTTGTTGCCACAAATATCATGATGAAAGAGTAAATCTTGTATACCTACATCTGCTCCTGAGATGTCCCCTTCTGATTTTACAGTTTTAATGATTTATAGATGCAATAATACTATCTTTGTGGGTAGCCAAGAAGAGGGTCACGAGTTGCCTCCAGAGTCAAGGAGGACACTAAGAAGGTTCTAACTAGATTTCATTCAGCTATACTGAGCTTCATGAGGACAGGGCGAGTGTTATTCATCTCTGAGGTCCTGTGCTAAGCCTTACTTATAGTAGGTGCTTAATAAATATCTGCTAAATAGCTTATAAGGTCCTCAAGGAAGAAAGCACCTTCCAAGTTTTTCATTTGTACTCATCACTGAATGGCAGCTATTTTCGTGAGTTGACTGTCATTGCATAGACAAACAGAATAAGAAGCAATGTTTTGAAGCAGCAGATAATGTCAGACACATAACTGCAAATGCAAATATGTATCCTAGAGAAGCTGCTACTCACCTACCTTCCTGTGTGACCAGGATGAAGGAGATAGTTGGTCATTATCTCTTCTTTCATGTATCACCTGGGAAACCCATCATTCTTAAAAGAAGCAGTGGTATCTTGCAAGTTGGCTATTTAGTCTATTTCCTTGTAAAGGGGTGAAAAAGCAGAATTGGTGATTGTTAATTACATAAATCCCTCAGAATTAAATCGTTATAGAAGACAGACATAGTGAAGAGGATCAAAAAAGAATATTAGTCTTTGCTAGCTTTTCAGAAATTAATCCTCACGATTGACTAGACAGAGAGGGAGGCAAATTAAAATAAACATGACATAGCAATAACAAAGAACAAATACATATACAAACACAACCTGATCCCAAGAATTTTCTAAAATTCATAAGCAAGTTAAAGGGCTGTCAGGACAGATGGGTATCACAAAGAAGAAACAAACTTATATTTAAAAAAAATATTTTTCCTCATTACAAAAGTGCATTATGGATCTCACCACCCAGAAATTTGGTATCTATTCTCAGACTTTTAAAAATGATTACATATGTATTTATCTATGACAAAACTGAAATGGTTTTATGCATAATGT